AGATAGATAGATAGATAGATAGATAGATTGGATGGATGGCTAGATAGATAGATAGATAGATAGATAGATGTAGAGTTATATCAGGTCACTGTAGTTTCCTGGGAAGAATGTGATCTTTGATGCAGATGTTTTGGCCAGCTGTCGTGTTGTCACAGTGGAGATCTTTCAGATATCTGCAGCATGCATGAAGACTGCTGTTCACAGTCAGAACGTGCAGAAATGGTCCCAACAAAATAGACGTCTTAGAAAAGGGCACAAAAGCCTCTTGAAGGAAATATGAAGCTTCTTTCCAAAATTTTTAAGGCATAGATTACATTTGCACATGTCTTGTTCTGCTATTCTCGGTCTTTTTTGTGATTTACTTGACATTTAAAGGCAGGAAGCCACCAAGAAAGCCAATGAGTTTGTTTCTTCATCAGAACAGATTTGCAGAAAATTTGAATTACATAACTTGCTCAGTGAATGGGTGCCGTCAGAAAGAGAGTCCAAACAGCTGTTAAAAACATCACAATAATCCACAAGTAATCCACACGTAATCCATCAGTTAATGTTTTGTGAAGCGAAAAAGCTGTGTATTTGTAATGAACAAATCCATCATTAAGGTGTTTTTAACTTGAAACCATTGCTTCCGGATACAATTCCAGTCTATCCATAATATTGCTGTCTTTTGGGTGAACTATGTAATAGATATAGATAGATAATATAGATAATAAATAGAGAGTTTAATTATGTAATGAAATTCATATGTACAAGAAATATAACATTTTGATCATGAAATGATCAGCATATCAAGTATGTCAAAATGTCTCCTGTCCAAATGTCTTGATATTACTTTGGTTGTAAGTTTGCTTTAGAAACATGTCACACTGCGTTTCCTCCAGGGCTACGGTTCACCAAAAACCCTTCCAACCAAACGGTGACTCAGGGTAACATGGCCCGTCTGGGTTGTGCCTTTAAGGGTTTGAGTGAGCCAGAGATCATCTGGTTGAAGGATGGAGAGAAGATCTACAGCACTGATCAGATGTACATCACACTAGATGCACATCACTGGGAGACCTTTTACAGGTAGGAAAATATGAACCTGGAACTGGAAATCCTGGATGTTCTTCAGCATAGATGTTTTTCAGTGATCAGAAATGAAACGTAACTGGTTGAAACTGTTTCCAGGCAAGAACTGAGACATCAGACTGTATGAAGGGGATGTTGAAACTGATTAGAAGATATTGTCATATGATTTGTCAAATCTCGGTTTTGACAGTCAAGGTTGTTTTCTAAGACAAGCGCCACTATTACTACTGTTTCTCAAACTAAATCTTTGTCTTTTACACTTTTTGCCTAAAAGGGAGTCTGTCCAGTTGTCATGAGACTGTGGCCTTGGGATCACGACCCTGTGTCTGTATCAGTATCATTTTTTGTATTATCACAGTGTGGGCGTCTGTATGGTAAAAGACACCAAGAACGATGAAAACATTTTAGCAAGGACTTTTTTGTCCAGATGTTTGATACTGTAGTAAGTAACTTTGACCTTCAAAGTTAGACAGGATTATTTTTCAATCTTTTGTAAGTTCTTGAGCACAATATGAAAATGCTTCATTTGCCTTATGGAGTAACTTTTGTGTTCAGTGGTTATGTAGATTGAGTATATTATGTATTTGTGAACAAACAGTCTGTTTGGATACTCTGCCAGGCTCTTGTTTTTCAATTCCTATATGTCCAGCTCAGGGTTCAGCATGCCAAGATAGTTTATGATACACTACTGTTTAAAAGTGTAAGGTCAGTAAGATTTTTTAAAAGAAATTAAAGGAGTCATATGATGCGATTTCTATTTTCCCTTTTCTTTATTGTGTTATGTAGCGATTTGTGCATGTATAAGATCTGCAGAGGTCCAAAGCTTAAAGTCTCCCACAAAAAGGATTTATTCTATCTAAAAGAGAAGGCTGATCCAGACTGGGCTAAAACGCCTCATTCAAACACGCCCCCACATCTCTACGTCATGATGTGGAAATATTTGCTTAATGCCGCCCAAATAAAAATGCAAAGAAAGAAGGCGTGGTTTCAGGAACCGCAGTAGTGTTGATGCAGCCATGTCAGGGAGACGCTGTGTGTTTCTGTGTGAAAGCAAAAGCACTTTATCTGTCCTTCTGAAAGTAGATGCAATGAGGAATCATTGGTTAATATTTATTTACAACAGAACAGCACAACCCAGATGTTCGAATTTGTGCAACGCATTTTATGAACGACAGTTTTGTGAACCTAGGAGAGTAGCCTACAAGGCTGGCTGTGCAAAGGCTATTTCTAAA